ATAAATGAGGGTTCACTGTAACAGAGTAGTATACAAAATAAGTGTGGTGCTCTACTCAGAACAGCCGTCTGAGATCAGTAGGTCAGCAATTACTCTAGATGAGATATCAGGAGATTGGGAAACTAGAGAACTGAGATCAGACCAACCAGACTACAAGAAAATAAAATGCTGACCCACTATTAAGATGTAGCTAATGGCAATGAACAAACAAGCTGTAAAGAAATTGTCACGTGGGAACCTAATTTACGGTGTAAAGTTCACCAAAAACACAATTATCATTTTTTTAAATGCAAAAATAAATAAATAAATGTATGCAAAGACCCACTTCTTCAGGATGGTGGAGGAGATTAGAGTGGGGGGTTGGGAAGCATGAGACCCAGGCATTCAGAAAACCAGACTGGTGAAAACATGGCCCCAAATCTCCCAGTGAGCTTTGAGTTCTCTTCGGCTGGTGTCCACCGTCATGCTTGGGTCATGTGCTGCTCCGACCACACGGCCCCGAGCCCAGAGGCAGTGTCTCTGCCTCGCCGTATGAGGTGAAGTCACGTTAGCCAGAAGGGATGGGGTACAGGCGCAACCAGCCACAGTCCTATCCCCAAAGACACTGAAGACCACGAGCTAGCCGGTCCACTCTGATTTTCCCGGCCATGGAGCAGAGCTTCCCTGCCACGGAACTGACCACAGCATGCTGCTATGCAAAGAGAGCACAGGATTTCTTTCCAGGAAGAGAAGCATGGTGTTGCCCTAAGCGGAACTGGCAACATGGTGACCTGCTGACCTTGCACACTGAGCTTAGGCGGCTTTGGTCAGAGGGCTGGACACGGCTGCCAGCAAGCTGTCTGTTGTCCCTGAGGCCTGCCCAGCAGACGCTGATGGGTCGGGAGCAGCCGAGCCTTGGCCTGCAAAAGCCAGACGCCTTCCATTCAGCTGCCTCCACTGGCCTCCCGCTCCAAGAAAGGCACACCGCAGAGTGGGAGTGGTGGGGCCTGACCACCTGCTGGATTACCTGCACCTCAGAGCAGGGTCAGTATCAAACACCTGTACGCACAAGTCACATACAAAGGTAATCCGTTCTGGAGAAGACCAACCCACAGAATTCCTTAAGAAGCAAATGGCAGGAGGAACCCAGCGCTGGTCTCCCGGTGGCGACACCCTGGGGACTTGGCAGCAGAGGCTGTGGTCTGCTGGGTCACTGACAACCCGCTGGGATCACAACAGAGATAAGCACCCAGTGTTTGCCAGTAATGAGGACACCTACCCCGCCCGGGGAGAGATCAGCTCTCCCTGGGTTGGGGGCATCTCATCTCCAGAAGCCGTGGTCAGTCTTTCTTTCCCCTCCTCTCCACCAGACACGGAGTCCCCTTGGGCTGTGTTAAAGCCCAGCCCCATCATTATACTTCCTGAACGCCTTTTTTTTAAAGGAAAAAAAAGTGCAACATAATTACAGGCTCTGACCTCAAATGACTTTAACCCTGACAAGCGCAGTCAGAGCTCACTGTGGGAAACATTGCCCTGTGATTGCGGAGGAGCATGAAGTTTCCTTTCCGAGTTCCAATGCTACAGAAAGGGCCCGGCTCACAGGAAACTGGACCCAAGCTTCGGCCACACTGGCGGAGATACTCGGAAGTCAGGAGAACTTGTAAATGTCTGGAACACGTCCCTGTCATTCCATTCCTTGGGCTACAGTGTTACAGACAACTTCCAGGAACGGGAAGGCGCACCAACAGGAGTGAGGACGAGGCTGTGGTGAGGACAAGGCTTAGGGAGACTCATTTGGTCTATTCAGGCTTCCTGTGTGGTCCCAAGGGCTGCAGCCATGCAAATCACCAGGGGGCCCTGTGGAGGTGCAGACGCCCAGGGCCTGTGGGTGCGGCACAACGGGTGTGAGCTGGGCTGTCCACAGAGAGAGCAGTCGGAAACAACCAGTCGCTCCTCCAGAAAAAAAGGCAAGCTTGCTTTCTGCTTCCAAAAAGATTAGCAGCCTCGGAAAACCAAAAGGGTAGTTCTACCCTGCCCTACTGGGTCACAGTGAGTCAGAACTGACTCGATGGCAACGAGTTGGGGTGGTTTTTTTTGTTTGGTCCCACGGGGGTGTGTCTCAAAGTATCCTTGGGCAGAGCCTGGGAATTTTTAGTTAAGGGAATTCATATGTACATCATCTTTAAGACAGGTTATCTTACAACACTACCAGCTGTCTGTTGGCCATACTGTAGCAGTGTGTTGCTCAGATGGTGGGAGACAGACAGGTGGGCATTTCAAGTATCAGGAGGGTCACCTATAGTGGGTAGGTTTCAGCAGTTTCTCGACTAAGTAAGACAAGGAAGAAAGGCCTGGCGATGAAGTTCCGAAAAATGAGCCAATGATAATCCTGTGGATCACAACTGGATATGGTCTCACCCAGTGCTGGACGATGAGCCCCCTGGACTGGAGGGCCATCTGAAATACACAGGGACCACAAGTACAAGTGTGGGCTCAACAGAGCATTTGTCAGGAAGGTGGGCTGTAGCAGGCAAAGCTTCACTCAGTGGTAGCTGAAAGGTTGAGTGAGTCAACCCAACGGCAACTAAGAGCCATACCTTACAAGGACCACCTAGCAGTGGCAATAACAAAGCTTGCCAATTTTAGGTCATTTACGATGAGCCTGAAAAAGCTCTGATGGCATTGTGGGTTCAGTGATGGGCTGCTAACATCCAGGTTGGCTGTTCAAACCCACCAGCCACAAAGGGAGAAGGATAAAGATCTGTAGCCACAAAAAACCTACACAGGGGCACCATTTACAGACTCAGCAACACACACGGGGCCATTCTGCTCTGTCCTAGAGTCACTGCGAGTCAGAATTAACTCAATAGCAGTTGAGTTGAGTTTTGAGGGAACTTAGGCCACGTTGGACATGTGACAGGGGTTATTGTACATTCACCATCAGAGGTGAGGGTCAAACCCTACAGGAGAGGCAGACAGAAGAAGGACGTCAGACACAATGTGCCATGCTCCCCAGCCAGTCACCATAAAGGTCACTGCCCACAGGACAGCCCAGAGAAATACAGAGGCACCGGGGGTACCTCCTGGACAAAGTCCTGGTCTCCATTACACCAAATGTAGGAGACTGTCCATATTGAAAAGTCTGCCAAACTCACTGCATAACACACGTACTGCCACTAGCACCACAAACCCATGCTGTCGTCCTAGCTACAGCTGTGTCTCATTTCAGGGACTGGGTTTTGTGGTGGTTTTAATCCCAGAATGAACAATACATACCAGCTGGGAGTAGGAAAGGGATAAAATAATCTACGGATGGTTTTATGACAGCGGTCACTGCAAGGTTTCTCTAACTAGTAAGTTCCTACACTAAAATCAGGATTTGAAAAACTCAGTTCTGTCATAAACACTCCAGAAATGCTCCCCTGAAACACTTAGCAAAATGGCAAATGGACAGTCCCCTTTGGTCCAGTGGATCCGCTTCTAGGAAATCTGTCCTATAGATCTACTGGCTCACTATGCCTTGAAAGGTGTGTGTTCACAGCAGCATGACTGGGCCTGGCAGAAGCTAAGAGACCATCTAACTGAGATTGGTTAGAGAAGCTATGATACAGCCAAACGATAGCGTGCAATACCAATGGTGAAGAAGAGTTAGCTCCATATGCACCCACGTAAAATAACTAAAATTATGAAAAACAAGGTCCACAGCAGTACATCGGTATGCAACCCAAAAACAAACACCGTACGACAGATAGAGCCAGAGAGATCCACCACCCATCAGAGGTATATACTATGGTGTTTGCATGCTGGTACAGTGCTGGAAGATATAACAATTATTTCAGATATTGGCAAGGTCTCCTATGGGGGACAAGCTTCCCTGGTGCTTTCCACAAAGGCAGACTAGAAAGAGAGTTCTGACAATCCACCAATACAGAAAACCTATGGAACATAACAAAGCGCTGTCCGTACAGTGCTGGAAGAAGAGCCCCCTAGTCTGGCAGGCCCTCCACAATGGCCGCAGCAATGGACCCAACGTGGTGTAGGGCCAAATGTCAGTGCAATACGTCACACAGAAGGCGATCAAAAATCAGAAGTGACAGCAATGACGCTATCTATAAAGGGGGCTTCAAAAAGTTCATGGAAAAATTCTACTACCTTTTCATTCCACTTTGCCATGAACTTTCTGAACCCCTAGGTGTGTGTATAACCAGAGGAGAGTGAAGTTGTCACCGATTTTGTCTTGCTTGGGTCCACACTCATTGCTCACGGAAGCAGCAGTGAGGAGAACGAAAGGAAACCTGCTGCACAGGGCTGCTCCTGAAAGTGCTGAAAAGCCAGGCTGTGACTCGGAGGACTCAGTTGCGCCTGACCAGACCACGGAACTTTCTATTGCCTCATATGCATGAGAGAGCTGGCAGGAGGAGGCCTGGTGAGCAATCGATGAATTTGAATTACGCTGGTGCTGGTGAGGAATCGTGAAAGTGCCGTGGACTGCCAGAAGAACAGACAGATCTGTCTTGGAAGGACAGCCAGAAAGACTTCACCTTCCATCCTTTGGACACGTCTTCAGGAGGGACCAGTCCCTAGAGAAGAGCATGCTTGGTAAAGTGAAAGGAAAGCAAAAAGGAGGAAGGCCCTGGACGAGACGGATGACACAGTGGCTGCAACAATGGGCCTCAACATTAAGAACCATTTGTGGATGGCCACTGGGACTGGGGGGTGCGTCATTCTGTTGCACACAGGGCTATGAGAGAGAATCGACTCCACAGATCTAGCAACAACAACAGATAGGTACACACACTGGCAGATGCAAAGATTACATAAAAGATACACCAAAAAACCCGGCTAAAATGTTACCTCTGGCAGCCGAACAGGGTTGAAGGAAAAAAGGGTTGTCGGGATACTTACATACATTTTTTTTTTTTGCATTTAAATTGCGTATCATTTATAGGTAACAGCTATTGAGATAAACTTTTTAAAGAAAGGTATGGATTAAAGTGAAAATGCCACTCTGTTTTATTCACTCAAACAACATTCATTTTCTATCTCTGACTCACCGCTGTAATAATGAGACATGCAGTTGGGGATTTCTGTAGGTTTAGGGCCGATCTGGCTCAACAGAGCCCTTGACAGAGAAACAGCCTCAAGTTCCATTCAGCCTGCCAGAAATGCCATCTTACAGCTCACCGAGGAGCCCGTCCACAGCTCCAAAGTGGTCCAATTACCTCGGAGTAGACTTGACAGCAGGTCTGATAGCAAAGTCAGATGTGTGGTGAAACCTACCTGTGTTATCTTTAAAACCATGTGAAAGAGTCCGTCCTTTTGTTAGGTTTGGTTTTGGGGGGTTTTCCCATGTGGAAGCAGCAAGAGTCAGAGAGTGGTTTACTTGGTGGCTTGAGCCAGAGAGGCCAGTTAGCTAACAAGGTTTAGGTCCAGAATTATTCCCAAATCCCTGAGACCTTTGTCCATGTGGCAAAGAAAGTGCATGTGCACGTGGGCATGCACACACACACAACACCCTAGCTCCGGGAACCTCTTCGTTCTAAATATAGCAGACAAGTGCCCACTCTTGACGCTCACCCTCTGTGGGATGCTGTGCCTTCCAACCAAGGTGAGCCCAGTCAGACATAAACACACTGTGACACTTTGGGCCCACACTGCCAAGCTGCTTTCCTTATTATTTCCTCTTTCTCTCTCTCTGGGTTTCTACGAAAATGTGTAAGCCCCAGCGACTAATTTATAAGCCTTCCTCTGGCCACTACTGTTATTGTTCTCCTTACTCTTGCAAACATGACTTCCTTCCTGGCCTCTCTAACTGGGGCTTCAAACAGCCTGGTTCCACAAAGAGTGTTCATCCCATGACCCCCTTTACCTGAAAAAACCTGGAGCTCGCAAATGTATCTATCTGACCAGTTCAAGGCTAATTAGGGCAAAGCCAAGGAATTGTTCTCTCCCACCCACTCACTCGCTCACATTCACATTCGCACGCCCTCCAGATTTCTTCCTTTCCCCTGCCCCTTTGAGAATCAGTCTCTGTGCCTAACAAAGGGGCCAGTTCAGGATACTGTACTTCCGGTTTAAGCAAAAGGAAAAGCGTCTGAAATATAGCCTAGCGCGCTCAATAGCGCCGGCTACCAGGGTGCGAAGGACCTAAACTACTGCTGCCAATCAGTGTGTGAAAAGTGGGGCTGGCAACAAGTCCACTTTGAAGACCCGCTTCCCAGGGAAATTCACCGCCCCTCCCAACTCCTCCTACAAGGATACATGAGGATTACCACACCCCTGTTCCAACAAGGAAAATCCAAAGCCATGCTGAGTATCATCCTTCAATATGAAGCGGGGAAAAGTAAATACAGTATGCCCACACAGAACATTCTGCACGCACTGAAGGAATGCAGTATGTACATGTACTGGCATGGAGCTTCTTTCAGACAATATTAGCAGGGAAAGCAAAACAGAGTAATTTGAGATGGTATAATCCCATTTTTGAAAAAGCAAATACAGAAAGAGGGCTAGGAAAAGCAGGACAAACTGTCATCAGTGGGTAAAAACTCTGGTTTCTCTCCCACCCACTCCCACCCCTTGCCCCGCCCCAAGCTGGTTTTGACACAAGTATAAAAGTACTTTTATACTTTTTGATGCTTTTATAAGAACATATTCATAAACTACTTTCTTTTTTTTCTTTTGGTCTTTAAATGGTCATATCATTCACTCATATTCTTGGTTTTTCTCCCAAGCCTAATCCTCCCCAAGCGTTCTCCATCTCAGAAAAAAGCATCCTCATTCACCTGTCATGGTCAAGGTCCCACACCCCTGAATTATTCTTGACGCCTCTCACACGCCACAACCAATCAAAAATCTAGCCCTGTGGGCTCAACTTCCAAATGAATCTGGAATCTGGCCCCATTGCCAGACTGTACCTTTAGTCCCGGTGACCTGAGTCTCACGGCAGTCTCGTGACAGTTCTACCCGCCTTTACTCCCACCCCTCTGTAGCCATTCGCCACATGAGCTCTTTAAAATACATGTAAGAAATATCGCTCCCTAATTCGAACGAACCACGAGTTCTTTGTGGCACTGAGCACCTCTGTCATCTGGCCCCTCATGAGCTCTCTCTCCATTCACCACCTGTTAGTCACTGGTGCGACGCTGCTGCCCTCAAACTGACTGCCATTGCGGCGGTTCCAACCCATAGTGACCCTAGAGAACAGGGCAGAACTGCCGTCTGGGATTCCGAGACTGTGACTCTCATGGAGTAGAAAGCTTTTCGTTCCCCCTACTCGTCCTCAAATGCCCTAGGGACTCTCTCACCTCCTGACTCCGTGTCTATTACTTCTCTGCAGGGACTTCACATGTGCTGAATGAAGGCCTTCCTTGGATGGCAACCTAAGAAATACCCAGGAGCCTGGTGGTGTGATGGTCAAGCACTTGAACATCCACCAGGCTCCATATATTTGTCTGCCTTCGCTGGCAGCATACGTACACAACTTTTACACAGATAATGCACACGGTATTTACTCATTTTTTCAAATCATCCAACTCCATTGTGTGAGAGCCTTCTATGAGAGCTATGTGTATTACGCGTGTGTGCCTATTATGTCTGTGCGTGCATTATGTGCAGGAGATGCAGTACTGTGAAACGCACGGTGTTATAATGTCTTTTAATTAAAACTGGGGTCGAGCAGAAATTTAAATCTAGATAGCCCCCTTTCACGGCTAGCTTTCCTATTGCCTTCACGCTCAATGTGCCTGCCAAAAGCCCCCAGGGCTGCTTTTGTTCAAGGTGATGGCTTTGACGGGATAACAAGGTGCCTCCAGGGGTGGCTTCCCAGGCGCTCAGGAGGGACAGTGGTTCTTCACGGGCCATTTTCATTATGTCAACTTAGGGGTTTCCTGATCATCAGCCGACAGTGGACAAAATGAGGAAGTCCGGCCCGGGGCCTTTGCCCCAAGGGGATGCTAGCCTGCCTATGCGAAGCAGAAACCCCAACCACAGCCTCACGGAACCATTCCTCGCTGTGGCCTCCTGATGTGGCTCTGTCAAAGGGAAATGAAGTTGAAGGACAAGTCTTAAGTGCCACGCACTTAGTCATCAAGAGCTTTACAAAGCAAAGGGAAAAAGTGTAAGCCAAGCTATAAAGTATCAAAAAGCCAAACTACTGCCATCAGGTCGCTGCCCAATCATGACCCACCAAGACAGGGTAGAACTGCCTTTGTGAGTTTCTGAAACGGTAACTCTCTGTGGGAGTGGAAAGCCCTTTCTCCCACTGAGCCGGTGTTAGTTTTGAACTGCTGACCTTGCAATTCGCAGCCAGATGGGGAACCGCTATGCCACCAGGGATCCTAAGCCATAAAAGAATGTACCCTCAGAAGATCTGAACAGACACCAGTAAGAGTGCTGACAGTGAAGATACAGGTTCTTTACAGATCCCGATCCTAGACACGGAATGCGCAGCGGATGCTATATTATGCAAGGAGACTGTTGCAGCAGTTTCTCTGAGCCCTGAGCCCCGGGCAGCAAAGAACAGCGAAGAATTTCACAGGGTCGTTGCAGAACCAAAGTGGGCTAGAGGGGCCCATGAGGGTTGACTGATTCCTCACCTTGAAAAGCAACGCATTTCTTTGGGGTAGCACTGAGTGATCAGGGATGCTGCCAGGCATGGGCTTTCAACTGAGTTAATGGTTACTGAAGTGAGAGGCCAGGGGCCTGCTCCTGGGTCAGATTCGGTAAATTGGGTACTTCTTTTCATTCGGTAACTCAAGCACTTTTTTTAATTTAAATCAACAACACGAGTTGTGTGTTGTGTGCCTTAAAGTACATCACCCTTTTGTACACAGTAGAGGCTTTTTACGATCACAAAATGAATCCTCCTTGAATGACATAAACCCCTAAGGATCTTTGATGCCAATCTGCTTTGTCAACCTTACTCAAAATCCTAAGTAATAAACGGGTACAAAGTTAGGAAATGAAAAGTTTGTCCCAGTTCATTTGCTTTGCTTTAGCACCTTAATTTTTTTTAAAGGCATTCACTAATTATTTGTTAATGGTGGTAATTTGCAATGGTGACATTTGGAGTCTGACTCACACAAATATAAACAACAGAAAATTGAATCCAAATAAGATGTTGAAGTCTTTATATAGCGTTGGCTTTTCAAAAATCTCTCCCATTTGTTCCATTCTGTTTTCCGCTGGATTGAACGAAGTGCACCTCAACAGTAACTCTCACCCCTCTGAGAGGTATGCCCTCCTTTTAACCACAGCCACTGCGGGCTTCTGGAATGTCTCGTTTTCTCCTAGAAGCACACTCGGTGGGCTCGGCTGGGATGAGTGGTTGATGTGTACACAACTGTGACAATGACCACATGAACCAAAAACCAAATCACTGCCATGAAGGCATTCCAACTCACAGCAGCGGCCCTGCAGGCTTTACATCCTCCGGGGAGCAATCACCCCACCTCCTCCTCCTCCCTCAGAGCGGAAGTGCGTCTGAATTGCCGACCTGTGGTTAGCAGCCCAACACACTGTAGCCCTCTAGGCCACAGGGGCTCCTTTACTATGCCTTTCTTTCTCCTTTAAGGTCGATAAACGATCATTTATTAACCACCACCACCCCCCCCTCTGTCTTACTTCTCAGAAAGACCACCAGCATCAGCATTGAGAGAGAAGGCAGCTGAGGCTATTTCTCTTAACATAAATATGTTCATTCTCAAAGGTAGCTCGTTGAAGTACATTGTATTGAAGTATAATTTACAGATGCTGAAATTCACATTCCTCAACTTTTAGTTTGTTTGTAGAGTTACACAACCATCACCACCATCCAATTCTGACACATTTCTGTTACTCCACTAAAAACCTCGTGGACCTGTTGCAAGCACTCAGTTCAAACCTGAGCTCAGAAGAACCACTACCAACTACCTACTACCAACTGCTCTGACCAAGACCCAAAGAGAAGATGCTGGTGAGAATGGGCAAAAAAAAAAGAGAGAGAACAAAATTCAACACCAAAAAATAAGTGAAAGGGCCAGACTTCCGACTCAAAAGAGACCAGAGGAACCTAAGATGGTCACCCAGAGAGAACTGTCTGGCTTGAAACTGGCAACATTCCCAAAGGCCAGATACTAGCAGAGACTATAAAACAAACAACATCCACGAAGAAAGTGTTCCTCAGAACAATTAATCAACTATGCAAAGTCAAAAGGACAACATGGCTGAAAGCCAAAGATGGAAAGACAGGAAGAGGCAGGGAACCCAGACTAATATAAGTGGGGAGCCCAGGGAAGAAACAGAGTGTTGACACATTGTGGGGATGGTGACCAATGTCAGTGAACAATCTGTGTATGAACTTTCAATTGAGAAAACGAATTTGCTCTGAAAAACTTTCACTAGTGCACAACCCCCACCCCAACTGCCACCAAGTCAATTCCAACTCACGGTAACCCAAAGAGGGTTTCTGAGGCTGCAGAGCTTTTCAGGAGCACAACTTCTCATTTTTCCTCCAAGGAGTGACTAGTGGGTTTGAACTGCCAACCTGTGGTTAACAGTCCAAAGATTACCCTACAGCGTCACCAGAATTCCTTACTAATTCACTCAAGTAGATTCCAACTCATAGAGACCCTACAGTACCAAGTAGGACTGCTCCATTTGAGCGTCAGAGACTTTCGATCTTCATGGGTATAGCTAGTCTCAAATTTTTCCTGTACTGGGCTAGTGGGCTCAAACGGCCAACCTTGTGGTTAGCAGCTCAGTGCATAGCCCACTACGCCACCGGGGCACATGAAATTCAAAAAACAGAGCTCATTGTACTTATTTTGTGAATATGATATAGACTTAGAGATCTTAAAATCACTGAGCGCCAAAACGTAGTGGGAACCCTGATGGCGTAGTGCGTTACACACTAGACTGCTGCGTGACGGGAGAAAGACAGGGCTGTCTGCTCCAGTAGCGTCGCAGCTTTGAACCAACAGGCAGCTTACTCTGTCCTATGGGGCCACTGTGGGTCAGAAGTGACTTGATGGCAATGAGTCTTTGGTCTTGTTTGGTTTTTGAGCAAAATGCAATGAGAAAGGCACATCATTTCTTTGAAAGTCTCATGGAAAACATAAGTTCAGAATAAGAAATAGAACTAGTCACTTCATTTTGTAAAAAGATGTCACCCAGCAGGACACCAACCCGCAGGGTACAGCTTATTCAGTACCACATATCTTGCCCCCAATTGACTGTAAATTCATTGACGAAAGGAATTGTTATGTTTACTCTTGTGTTGGTTTTCTCCTCTGCATGTCTCATAAACTTTATATCAATTAAAGTATCAGGGACTAAAATAAATCCCCCCTCCCCCACGCCTCAAAATGCTCTCATTGTGATTGAATCGATTCTGACTCATAGTGACCCCATAGGGCAGAACAGAGTGCTCCTGTGGGTTTGAGACTGTAACTCCTCATGGGAGTAGAAAGGCTCATCTTTCGTTCATGGAGCGGTTGATGGTTTCAAACTGCTGACCTTGCAGTCAGCAGTCCAACATACAAACCCTTTATACCACCAGGAGTTTCTTCTGGCCCTAGAAATACATTATTCAGTCCCGGGACCACAGGTCTACTTAACCGTTTTTGAAGGAAATAAAGTTACTGATCCAAAGTTTCTCTACCCGAAATCTAAATAAAAAAACTTTTTGCCTAAACCACCTAGCAGAAGAGGATTAACTTTGCATTTCCGGTTTTTAGGACAGGCAGATCTGCAAAGGCAAACAAGCAGATCCGTGGTTGTTTTTTGCGATGGGCAGAAGTGAAAGTGACTACTCATAGGGTGTGGGTTACTTTGTAGGGTAAGGGAAATGCTCTAAAACTGAACGTGGGCACAGTTGCTTCACTCCGTGACTGTATTAAACGCCACTGAATTCAGACACTTTCTGATTACACACATTAAATAAATCAGTGACCTGTACGTAAAGTGAATTACAATTTAATAAAGCTGCTATTTTTTAAAACTGCATGTCTGTCCCACTCTAAGACAACAAAATGAAGGTATTCCCTCTCAGAAAATGGAAAGCAAAATCAAAGAGACTTCTCATTACCAAAAAGCCCAGAAACCACCCCTCAAAACCAAAGCCTACCCCACATTCCTTTCTATGCACCTACATTGGTTGTGCCATTGAGAACAGGGCACAGCAAGGCCCGGAGTCCAATGAAGGCACAAGAGGTAGCAAGGACAGCCACACGGAGGGGAACGTTGGTCTAGCGAGAAATGTGGAAACTTAACGTAATAGCGTGTTAATAAGCCCAGAAGAGATTGGGGAGCTCAATTTTTATTTTTTCTTCATAACTTGTGGATCTTTTTTGACTTAAGCACGGCTTGATGCAAGCCATCTCACAAGGATTTTGTCCACCAGTGGTAAAGACACACAACTGTGTGAGTATGCTAGCATGAAGGCGGCATGAGCCTCGCTCTGGGAGTGCAGGCCGACGGCAGAGCTGGAAAGCGCTACGTGTGAGCAGCGTTGCATGCCAGCTCCGGGTTTAGTCCTTTCTTTACATGTACATCATCCGGGTCTTAAGCAAACACAATGAAGTCTGAGTGCTTTTCCCACTGACAGAGGGGAGCTCAGGATTGCTTACCTAGCCTGAGTTAATCAACTAAATGACAGGATCAGGACTTGAACCCAGGCTTAACTGGCTCCAGAGGAGCCCCGTTGGTGTAGTGGTTACAGGCTGGACTGCTAACTACAAGGTCAGCAGTTTGAAGCCACCAGTTACCCCACAGGAGAAAGACAAGGCTTTCTACCTCCAGAAAGAGTTACAGTCTTAGAAACCCACAAGGGCATTTCTACCCTGTCTTATTGAGTCACTGTGAATTGGGATCAACTTAATGGCAGTGAGTTTGGTTTCTGGTTTTTTAACTGACTCCAGGTTGTACTCTTGCCACCAAACTGTAGGCCCCCAGGAAATACTGTTATCATCCAAACTCATGATGTGACCTGAGGAGCTCAACTTAAGGGAGGCGAGAGATCCTAAGCCTCTTAACTATACTAGCCTATATCTCTTCAGCCTCTATCTTCTCTAGGGAAAGAAGAGACTTGTCTCTTCTCTGACACTGATTAATCAGGGCAGGGGAACAGGTCCTGGGGGGCTAAGTCCCCCCACAGAAAAGGCCAGGACAAATCAGCCTCAGAAGTAACTAATCCGGCATCACCAAGGCTCTGCTCCACATCAAACAAGAGATGTCTCCCAAAGCAGGAATTTATTAAATGGATGCTCCAAATTATTTTGTTTATCCTTCCATGCATCCAGCCCAGAGATCTGGATTCAGACAAAGGTTCCAAGGAGTTATTTTCCATACAGAAAGGGCCTGTAACTTTTATCAGATTATCAAAGGAAGACAAGAGACAAATGTGTGTGAGAACCACTGACCTCCAGGACAGAACTGCCTCAGGGTTAAGTGCACTTTAACTGCTCTGTCACCTTGCGCAGGTCACTGATCTCTGGTCCTGCTGGTCCCTTGCTCATAAAGTGGAAGTTGTGAAGCCAATGATCTCGATGAACTTTGGTGATGAACTTTGGCAATCCCGGGAGGCCAGTTTTATTGCCTGGGATTAATGCACAAAGGAAACCTAAACTCAAAGATCTGAAACTCTGAGCTATGAAATAAAATCGTAAAACGTTAGGGCTAGGAGAGAGTACAGTGTCACTTTTAAATAATCAGGTTTTTGGTTTTTTTAAGATGAGTTGGGAAAACAGCAGTGGTAAAGAAAAATAATGCACAAACACTAGTCTACTAGTATACAATGTAGCAGGCATCCAGATAGGTGATAAAGTGCTTAAAGTCTAGGCCACAGCTGTACCCTTATTTTAAAGATGAGAAAATTGGGGCTCTTGAGGATCACATGACTTGTTCAAGGTCACCGTAGAGCTGGATTTAAGAGAGATCAGAACATCTAGATCTCAATCAGTCCTTCTCTCAAGTTACAGGGCTAGTCCATTAAAAAACCAAACCAACCCTTCAGCGCCATTACTGAAATGTTTCTTCTACCCAAAGCACTCTTACATACACACACACAAAAATAATAATTGGGCAAACTGCCAGTCACCCAAATACACACCACCCTGATTCAGGGCTGAGTTATAAAGCTTAAGTCCAAATTCCATTAGGCTTGGTCCAGATAGTTCCATTTAGGGCAAGTGGGATGGGCGAGATCAAGAGCTGGCAGAGCATTAACTCCAAGGCTGGCTCACGCCACTGAGTTAAAAACTAAGAGTAGCCACTGGAACTACGTGACTGTAGGCTAGCGCATCCTCCAGCCTGTTTTCCCGTTTCCACAACACCATTCTTAGGTGAGGTGATGATGCCCTGCATGGAGCAGGCCTGGCAGTCCATCCAACAGCAGCCTATTCACTGCTACTTCCTCTGTGCCCAGTGCAAAACCTAGCACCCCCTAGTCAATCCAAACTTTGCTCAATGAAGCAGTGGCGCAAGTGAAAGCCAGTCTCAGAGTTCAATCAAAATCCCACCTTTAAGTGGGTCCCAGTCTTCCCGGAAAAAGGATGGCGCTGGTCAATGATGAAGGAAGTCTATTCATATGCTTCGTGTAAGACACAGCATCTAGCAAAGGCCCTGCCTCTAAGATGTTTCATCACCTCCCAATACTTTTATACTCATTTCGCCCACAAAAGATTGGCACTTGCCACCCAGGGATTCCATTGTCTCTGTCTTCATTTTTAGAAGCAATCTTCATTTTAAGCAGCAATAGACTCACGAAATGACATCTCAGACACTCCTTGGAGTGTCAATTTCTCACAGCTTAGGCCTTATGCTACCAATGCACCTCTCATTCTGAAAGATAACACGCATTAAAGAAGTCTATCACCCCCACAGGTAAAGGAAGAGTCGAAGACAATTCCACAATTCCTAATTCTGAAAACTAGAAGATGGGCTGGACGGTTTTTACAACAGGTGGACTGAAAGGGGGCCAAAAACACACTCATAATCCCAGGCGCTGGTCCCTAGAGCACTCTATTGAGGCAGAAGGAAAACTCACCCCGGCTTCTCAAAAGTAAAGAGAAAAACATGCACAAGATGTGAATTTCATGTTTCCTCATCAAAAGCAAAAAGAAGAAATGAGCAGAACGTGGGGGAGGGGGGGGGAGCCGGGGGAACAGGTTCACAAAAAGCTAGTTTATCTTTAACAAGAATTTAGATTTCTCCTTTCTGGGTGGGGAGAGAGGGCATTTCTTCCCTGACCCTTGAATTTTCAAGGATAATAGGAAAGGGAAAACGCAGAACGAGGGAAACGAGAGAGGGAGTCAGGAGACGTTCATTCTATTTTTAAACCCTCGCCCACAGTTTAGAGTAAAGGAACACTCTGATTCTGTACTGCCACCCCTATCACCTTCTGCTAATCCCGAGAATCCGAACCTGCACACATAATGGCAATGCCCCTCGATTTGGGGGTGGCAGACTAGCCAACCACTCCACGCAGCCTCTTTCTGGGCAGCGCCTGTGTCTTTCGGAGAAGCAAGGGCCTGACGCTGCCCGCAGGGATCCAGAGAGCCACACCTGCCTTTCCGAGGAGAGGCAGCGCCCTCTGGGCAGGGCGCGCTCCGGCCACACCGCTGGGCACCCAGGAGGGAGCCCCGGGGCCCCTGCGGGAGACACTGTCGCGAACACGCCAGGCTTTGCCCACAGGCTGCGGCGCGCCAGGCACTACCTACCGCCCACTCGCGGGGTACCTGTGTGCCGCGCACACCCACCCGCGGTCCCCAAGAGAGGCCTCGTGCCGGGGTCTCCTCGCCGCCACCCGTCAACGCAAAGGGCTCGGCGACGGGTCCCCTCCTCATCTGACTTGCTGGCTCGCCCGCTTATGCATCCTTCCTGCCCCGGGGAGCCTCCACACCCATCACCAGGCGCTGCGGGCTGGGAACCCACAGCGCGCTCCAGACCGGGGCTGAGCGCCGCCGACCGCCCCTCCCGCCCGGACGGCCGTCCCCGCCGGCCTCGGGGACACTCACTCTTGAGCGCGCTGATGAGCGTCTTCCCGTCCTTAATAAGCTCCTTGATAAATTTGTTGGTCTTGTCCAGCTCCGCTTCGTGCGACTTGAGCGTCTCTCGGAAGTGCGGGCTGTCGAGGCAGCAGTCGCTGAACTCCAGCGCCGGGAGCCCCATGGTGCCCGCGGCGCCCAGCCGGGGGGCGCGCGTCCCCCGGGGCCCGGGCGGACAGTCGCGGGGAGCACGCACGCGGCGGGCGCTCGGCCGGCACCCCCGACGGACGCCGGCTCCACAGGTGTGGCGCTACTCGCTCTCCGCGCGAGGCTCGCCGGCGCGAGGTTCGCCGACGCGCGCGACTCCCAAAAGAAGCCCGGATCGGGCGGTGGGCGGCTGCTCTCGGGCGCGCAGCTGAATGGTGGGCGCGAAGGAACGGTGGCCGCGGACTCGGAGCGGCGCCGGGAAGCGAGCGAGCGAGCGAGCGATCAGGCGAGCGAGTGCGAACACCGCCTCCCCGCCTCCTTGGCTGGCTCCAGCGCTAGCAGGCTCCAGCGCCCTCTCACAGCAGCCGCTGCCGCCCAGCCGGCCTCCGGGCCGCTCGAACCTGCTAGCGATGACCTAATCCTGCTGGGCCAATCAGCGCGTCTGCCTCAGCCCGAACCCCCCCCGGCAGCTCCTGGACGCCCGTCCCTTCCGCGGATTTGGACCAATCATCGGGGGCTGGAGGCGGGGCCTAGGGCGGGGGCGGTTCCCACGCCACCGCCTAGGTCCGCAACGTAAGCTCCGCCCTTTCCCGCCCGCCGGTTGTTGCAGACCTTGAGACTGTAGGGTGAGCTAGGCTGTGCTAAAATTCCAGCCACCCTGGACCTTTCCCTGCTTGCTGGGGCCTGGATTCGAGTCTGCAGCGATGCGTCTGTTGGTCTGGGAGTGGAGGACTCTAGATGTGCCGAAATTTCAGGGAATTAGGCTGTAGTTCTCCGGCAGTCCACCCAGGACTGTTGGGCAACCGAGCTTGCACTGAAAATACAGCCTGCTGCCCCTGGGACAACACCGAGCGCACCAAGAGACCCTGTCGCCTGTAAACCCCGCTCGATCTTCATTCATACAAGAAATATTTGCATGTTAAAATTTCCAGCGCTGCTTGCCTGCAGTCTTCCCGCCCCCTAAAGCCCGCCCCCTTCCTGGCCACTCCTGCTCAAAAGCTGCCCACGGCTGCCAGACCTCAGAATCTAGCATCCTTAGGACAGTTTCCACTGCCTGTTATTTCCTTTGCGCTCCTTGCACAAGTTTACATACTTGCAGCCACCGCTTGTCTTTCGCTTCATCGGGAGCTTCACTGGAGCACAGACCACCGGGTTTCTTATTCACGGCTACGTACTCAAAACCTACAACAGTGTCTGGAATTTACTGCAAGATTGAGCCCTTACCAAGCCGCATGATGAGTAATAAATATTGTGAACACAAACGAATGAATCTTTTTGCGTGGCCCCTCACCACTTGTCATTCCCCAATGTGTTGGACTCTGTTGGACCCCAGGACTCAATTCCAGTTTGTCTGGCTGGGCGCCATAAAGTGTGTGGTGCTGCATTGTAATCTGGAGGGTAGGCACTCTTTGAATAAAATGCTTTTCTGTCCAGAAACTAGCAGCCCTCCTTTAACTAAGTGTGTTTTGTTTGTTTTGAATAGGCCTGCTATGTGCGTACATTAAGCTATTTGCTAGGTATACAACGATAACACAGAAGGAACTAAAATGCCACTGGTCGATAGGAGGGTGAAACACAATCAAACAAGCCGAAAAATGCCCCACAACATGGGTTAGAATCAGGGAGCAGATGAGTGCTTCCCAACATGAGAGGTCAGAGATCCCATCCCAACCTTTGGTTGAGAAATTAAGCATTTGTGAATGAATGAATGAATAAGCTCTATTTACTACTTGTAGCTATATACCTAAGGAGCTTTGGTGACACAAACAGTTAACTGTTAGGCTGCTAAAGGATAGACTGGCAGCTCAAACCCACCCAGGAACGCTACAGGAGAAAGATCTGGCAACCTGCTTCCATGAACATTATAATCATGAATACACTATCTGTCAGCTCTACTCTGTCCCAGGGTCACTGTGCGTTGGAATCAGCTCAGTGGTACCTAACAACAACATCTACACATCTGGGATTCACAGCCGGCTAAACAGCCATCTGATAGAGAGTTACTCTGAAAGGGATCTGGAATGGAAACTCCATGAAGTTCAAAATGTATCATGTTTAATGCTGCATCAGAACCACCTATAGGCGGGAATTGGAGTTAAATATTAATGCATTTTTTAAAAATACACCAAAATTTAATGGTTTAAAATCTCACGATAGAGAAAAGCACAGGACCAGATGGCTTGACAGGTGAACTCTCACAAACATTTTAGAAGAGTTAGCAGTACTCCTTTTGAATATCTTACAAAGAATATTAGAGGGAAGACTTCCTGACTCATTCTACGAGGGGGTACCCCTAAAAAGCGGGGGGGAAAGCTCCCACTGAGCAGAGCATTGGTAGTACTCATTTTTCCTGCTAGGCTCCAGCAACTCACTCTGAGTTAGTGCACCCAGTGGGAAGTGCACACAGACACTCTGGTCACAGTGAATTTTTTCATAAAAGCAGTTTCGCTCAAACCTAATTTTTTGTGATGACCAATTTCAGAGAATAGTGTGCAGCTATGAAATGTTGTTTACTGCTCAGGAAAAATGCCGCAGAAACTGTTGTGATGTTGAACACAGCTTACAAGGACAGCGCTATGGGAAATACTCAAGTGTACAAGTGGTTTTCTCATTTCATAAAAGATAAAATGTCCCCCCCCTCCACTCCAACCCACCCTCCCTCCACTGTCCCAGTATCGCCACTCACACCACTGGTCCTGAAAGGATCATCCATCCTGGATTCCCTGTGTTTCCAGTTCTTATCTGTACCAGTGTACATCCTCTGGTCTAGCCATATTTGTAAGGTAGAATTGCGTTCATGATAGTGGGTGGGAGGAAGCATTTAGAAACTAGAGGAAAGTTGTATGTTTCATCGTTGTTACATCACTCCCTG